CAGAAGAAAGCCAGACTGGAAAAGAAGAAATGAAACAATACATACAGACAATGTATCGATATAGAAAACTCCTGAGGACTCCACTAAAAAGCACGAGAAACAATAAATGAATTTAATAAAGTGACAGGTTACAAAATTAACAAAAACCTGTTGCATTTTTATGTACAAATAAGGAGCAAGAAGAAAAAGAAATTAAGAAGACAATTCCATTCACAATCACATCAAACATAAATACCCAGAATTAACCAAAGAAGTGAAGGATTTACACAATCAAAACTATAAGAATCTATTAAAAGACACAGAACAAGACATTAAGACATGGAAAGTTATTCCATGTTTGTGGATGGCGAGAATTAACATAGTTAAAAAGACTATTGTAGCAGTAACAATACATAGACTTAATGCAATCTTCACTAAAATTCAAATAGTTCTTCAAGGAAATCGGACAATTTTCCAAAGAGGATATACAGAGGATACATATCACTTCTAATAAGGGAATTGTGAATCCAACCCACAAGAAGATATGAACCAACACTTGTGACAATGGTCTACCAACACATGTGACAAAAGACCCCCAACAGGGTCTCCCTGGTGACACAAAGGGTTAAGTCTCAGCAATATGAATCTATCTGCAAAGCAAGTTCTGAGTTACATCCCTGGCCAGGGAGCTGACCCACATGGCGCAGCAGACCTCTCCTGACTTGCCCGCTGCTCCCCTCAGCAATATATTTCAGTCGATCCACCTGTTCTGCTCCCCACTGTCTGTGGTGAATCCTCTCACCCCCTACCCCCAACACCTCTGGCCTATACCCCAGTTCTTGGATGTATAAATAAAATAAATCTTAAAAAAAAAAAAGACCCCCAACAAGTGGTGTTAGATAGGAGGTGAGAAGCCAGAACCCTTACAAATTACTGAAGGGGATTTAAATTAGTGTGGCCACTGGAAAGCAGTCTGGACTTATCTTAAAAAACTTACCCTAAAATATCATGCCATCCAGCAATCCCACTTTTGGGTATCTATCCAAGGAACTTGAAATCATGAACTTGAAAAATCACCTATGTCACCATGTTTACTGAGGCATTATTATTTTTTTTTTTAAAGATTTTTTAAATTTTTTTTAATAGAGGCATGTTTTTATTTATTTGTTTGTTTTGTTTATACATGCACCGGGTACAGTCAGAAGCGCGGGAGGGTGAGAGAATTCACCAGAGCCAGAGCGGGGAGCAGAGCAGGCAGAAGGACCAAAGGACACTGCTGAGGGGAGCAGCGGGCGGCAGGAGAGGTCTGCGCGCCATGTGGGACCCTCCTCCGGTGGCCGGGGAGCAGCCGGGGATCAAACCGGCGGCGCAGAGGCCTCGGGCAGCTTCGCAACCCAACGCTCAACCGCTGCGCCACCGGGGAGGCCCTACTGAGGCATTATGTACAATAACTAAGATGTGGAAGCAAGCTCCGTGCTCGCGGATAGGGGGCTGGAGAAAGACGTGGTGTGGAATACCATTCAGTTGCAAGGAAAGATGAAATATTATCCTTTACAGTCAAATGGAAGGAAATTGAAGGGCTTATATGAAGGGAAGTAAGCCAGAAAGATAAAGACACATATTGGATGATTTTCACATATATGAGTAATATAAGGAAACAAAGGAGACAAACCAGCAAAGCAAAATAATTATAAACTAGGAGACACTGATAACTGAACTAAGGTTTCTGAGGTTAAGAGAGGGGGAAGGTAGGATCAAGGGAGTATGTAAAAAAGATTTTCTACATTTGTAAACTTACTTCAAAAGAAAAAACCTGAAAACCTACTCTATTAAGGTAACTCTATTAAGATTATAAGCACTGAAGTATTAATAGAAAGTACTGATGTTTATAGTTTGCCTGCAGTGCATTAAAAGATAAAATGGTATACAGGAGAAACCAAATATTGTAAAATATTAAGAGGAAAAAATATTGCATCACATTTATAGGGAAATCCATATTGTAATTAATTAAATGCAATAAAGGTGATGAGTGAAAAAAACAAGAAGAAATGAGAAAAATTTCAACAAAGTGCTTCACTTTTAAATTCTGAATTACTGATGGTGACAGAAGAATGTAGAAACTTTAATAACTAAAGAGGAAATAGAGAAGACAGCTCTCAAATCATGCGGGTTTACCCAGTATTATTTGTAACATTTTTAGGGGGAAAAAAACCTGAATGTCCTATGAGAAAAAGTTAAATGAATTTGGGTATCTTCACGCAAAGCAACATAACACAACCCTTAAAGGTGATTTAAAAATCCTCATAAAATTATATGAAATTTAAAATAGTATAATTGAATGTATTCCCTTAAAATGGTTAGGAGGAAAACATGCATGGGGGGGGGGGAAAGAAATTAATTAACACAAATACAGAGACACTAAAGAAGAGAGATCATAAGTGGCTTTTTTTTCTATGAAAAAGCCTGTATTACATATATTCACATACTTTAACAAGGAATGTTTTGATAAAAGTAGTACAAGACACAGAAAAGTCAAGAAGAGAGTCCTATTTTTATTTATCTATTTATTTATTTTTTGAGAGTCCTATTTTTAAATAAGTCTTAGAGGGACAGGTGTTGAAAACTTAATATTATCATAAAGGCAAAATTTCTTAAAGCTGTTCAATGAAATCCTCGTTTCATGCAGCTATTTTACCAGGAAATCAGTGTCAGTGTAACTGGGAATATATCATTTTGCTATGTTAGGAGCAGAAAATACAGAAAGCATAACTGCTGCTGGGGGTTAGGTGGTTAATGGACACTAGTTCATATGACACCCCTGACCACATGGGTACTCTGGAGCAGGGGATGAAAGGAGTCAAGTGGCCCTGCCCTAGGGGAGTCGAAAGCCCTTACAGAGATGAGTGGATAAACATCACCTCTGCGGGGAAGGAGTGTCTGAGCTGAAGCTTAAGCTCAGGAAGAGGCTGCAAAAGGGATTCCTAGACAGAGGGGCCCAGAATGCATGTGCCACTAGCATCCTGCACTGAGCCAGCTTTTGCTCGTCTGTTCATCCTGATGAGGCAACCACAGAGCTCTTGGGCTCTGGAGTCAAAAGAGAGCAGGCCCTCGGCCCTCTCTCCACACCCTCCCCTCCTAGGAAGAACACCAAGAAACCTGGTCTCCACAGACAGCTTTTTCCTTATCAAACTTCCCCCATTTCTTATTGTTCAACTTTCAGGTTGCCCAGCATCTCTTTTAATTCTTAACTGAGAAAGCAGTACAGGGACAGAGAAGAAAAGACGAATGAGGAAGCGCAGCATTTACATACACAGAGCTACTGAGGACCCAGTGCACCCTAAGGTCTTTCACAGTATTCCCCTCACCCCCTTCTCTCTCCCTTCCACCTCGGAGCCACTCCAGGTACTTGTTAGCCAAACTCATAGGAGCTCTGGCTTTGAAACTCTTCCTTCTATACTTGGTCATCCACAGCATTTTTTTTTTTTTAAGATTTATTTATTTATGCATACAAGAGCTGGGCACAGGCCAGAGATGCAGGGGTGGGGGTGGGGTGGGAGGGTGAGAGGATTCACCAGAGACAGAGTGAGGAGCAGAACAGGCGGATCCACTGAAATACACTGCTGAGGGGAGCAGCGGGTGAGTCAGGAGAGGTCTGCTGCGCCATGTGGCTTGCTCCCTGGCCGGGGATTGAACTCGTGCTGCAGAGGCTGCGGATTGCTTCATAGTGTGGTGCTTAACCCCTTGCACCACCAGGGAGGCCCCACAGCTATATTTAAAACTAAAGAGAAAATGCGCTAATTACCTGCTCAAAAAACTGGGTTCAAGCTACACTTAGCCCTCTTGCCGTTCCTAGACACACCAGCACAGATCTGGCAGTGGGGACCTGAACAGCTACTCCCTCTACCCAGAGCACTTTTCCCCACACAGGAGCATCAGCAGCTCCCTCACTCAATCCATCCTATCAACCCCCCCCCCCTTACCTTTTTCTTTCTTTTTATGTTCTCAGATATTGTTGCATTCTAGGTTATCATGTGAATGACTTACTGATTTTTTCTGTTCCACCTTAAGGAGTAGGACACTTAACAAGACTAAAACAAGACAGTTACTTGGTTTTAGGAGAGCCAGACCAAATCTCTGTCAGCCATATCTTTATATACAAAGTGTTTCCTCCACAGCCGTGAGAATTAGTGTGTAACAATAAAAAATCTAAAGGCATTATACACAGTGTATGTTTAATTGCAAACTGTCCTGAGAGCACATTACTAGTCACTTATCTGGATTGAGCCTATTTGCCACAGGCACCTAGCAACCAGAATCTGTGCCTTTTCCTTACTTCTAACGAGAGTGTGGATTAAACGCATTTGGACCTAGTATTTTCACCTACTCCATGTAAATGAATGGATCCCCTGAGAGGACGTGTGTCTAGAAAATGCCTTCTAGAAATGCGTTCACAAATCGGCTTCATATTAAGCTGAAGGTGGACAGAGGGGGACGTGCACTGTCACATGGTTGTTAAACAGAAAAAGTAAGTTGGGGCGGGGGGGGGGGAGGGAGGGGAAGGGAGGGGGGTGGAGTCTATCTGCAGCTGCCTCTTTCTAGGCAAATCTTGACCGAGCTTCTTTGGCGCCTTAAGCTCCCGCTCCTCGCCTCAGTGACAGTTACTTCCTTTTCTACAGGCCTCTCTTCTGTCACCCCACTTCTCCATCCCGACTGACGGGGCTCCAGGAACTGGCTCGGCGCCCAGGATTCTCAACTTTGACACTTCCCGACGCACCCATCCGCTTTCAGCTCCTCCCACCGGGCCACACGGCCCGGGCCCCTCCTCAGCGGGCCCCTCTTAGGCAGCCCCCCTCCCAGCTCCGGACACTTCGGGGTTCGCGAGGCTGGAGGCTCCGGGGGGGCCATCGGGCCAGAAAGGAAATCGCGCAAGCGGAGAACAATGACAGCTCCAGACCCGCCGGGGATGGGGGCCCCGGGGGGCCGCTGGGGGCGGGAGGGGGCGCCAGGGACGCGCTGCTCACCTGGGGCGCGGCCGTCGGAGGCCTCGGGGCCATTCCTGCCTCGCGGAGGCCCGGCTCCGGCCCGGGCTGAGGGGAGAGGAGGCCCACTCTGCGGGCGCAGCGCCGGCCCCGCCCCGCCCCGCCGGCCCCTCAGGCGCTCCTCCCGGGACGGCCGGTGCGGGGGCGCGCGGACCCCGCCGGGCCTGGGCTCGGGTCCCCGCTCCACACGCTCGCCGCGCCCGGGCGCCCCCTGGCCCCGCCCAGCCCCCCCCGCGGGACGGTGGGCGCGGCCGCGCGGACACGCGCCAGGCTCGTGGGAGGTGCCGCCCGCGGCGCGACTAGCGCCCTCCAGGGGGCCCCGGGTTTCGCGACCTCGACCCCCCCAGGACTGGGGCTGGCTCCCCCCGCCCCCGCCGCGCCAACTCTGAAGTGCGGACGGGCGGCCCAAAGCCGCCTTTAGCCACACGGGGGTCGGACAATGGCCGCAGCGGCGGGGCCGCGCCGGAAGTGCGCCTGCGCACGCGGAGCCTCGCTCCCGCAACCGCCGGGCCGCCGCGGGCGCGCGGACTACACCTCCCAGAGGCCCCCGCGCGCGGGACCCGCGGGGGGGCCTGGGAAGACGCCGCGCCGCCCTCGGGCCGCCAGCTCGGGTGCCGCTGCGAGCGCCCTGCAGGTCCCGGGCTGGGGCGTGGGTCCCTCAGTGCATCCGCTGACTCCGGCAGTGGTCGCTGCGCGCCTCCTCTGTCAGGGGCGAGCTGCGAGGGGCGGGACAGAGCCGCAGATCGGAAAGATCCCGTTTTCGGGGAGCGAGTATGCACTCACGTGGACGAATGACAATAAAAAAGTGAACAGCAACAAGTTGCTTTTAGGTTTTGACTTCAGCTCTGAGAATTAAACAATGAAGGAAGTGAGGCAACTTTGCACCTTCATCACAAAATGTAATTTCCGTGGCCTCTTCTATGCCAGCTTCACCTGTGGGTCATCACTGAAGGTGAGGACACTGACTTCCCAGAACACGATCTATTAAGACTAAGCTACATGATGAAATATTTACACAGGAGAGAAAAAGAAATGTCAGGTAAACCCGTGGCCTCCTGAAGAGTGTGCAAAAGCAAATGGTGCTACTACCAAGTTATTTCATTCCTTGTTATCCTGTTCCAGATTCTGTGCTGAATTTTCAGTACAAAGATAGATGAAAGTCCGATGCAATGACCAGATTTGTAGAATTGTGTTTTATATATCATAAATAACCAGTCTAAAAATGTCCTCGATTTAGAATTGATTTCCTAACATTAGTGTTTGACATATTTGCATGGTAGAAAACAATTGCAACTAAAGGTATCTTATATTACATTGCTTTATCAAGAGGATAAAAAAATTGCTTTCCATCACTGCCATATTAAAATGATGCTCTGAAAGTAGTAGAAAGTGTAATTTAGAAACATAAATGAGTGGTCCAGAGAAGCCTCTTTCAGGCAATAACTTCATATACGAGATTTAAGGTGGAGGAACATTAGGGAGAAAAGAATTCCAGGCTGAATGAACTGAGAGTGCAAAGGCCCTGAGGTGGAAACAAGCTTGATGTATTTTAGAAACAGATGGCCCATGTAGCTGTAGCAGAGTGAGGGACAAGGACAATGAGTGGAGTAGAGGTAGGATGGGGTTTGCTGGAGCAAGGTTTTGGAGACTGTCTCAAGCACTCTGTCCATCTGCTCTCACCTTGATCAGTTTTACCTTTGGCCGCCAGCTTCTGGGCCAAGTCCTTCACTAAGGACACAGCCTGTCTGCTGGTCTGTGGCTGCTAAAATGCCACACTCATGCCTGTCTTCCTAGGAACCGTGCTCAGGGACTGTACTAACAGTGCCCACGGTAGAATCTGTTCATTGGGGTGGGCACCAAAGATGGACAATGTAACTGTCTCCTGCAGGTGTAATGACGACCACTCTGGAGGCCCTACTGGGCTCTGGACCCTGAGGAGGAAGGAGAGCTGTTTGCTGAATAATGAAAGGGGGGATGGATAGCCCTCGGGGAGTCTAAGGCAGTGCCACTCAGCTCTGGGTGACCCCCCTCCTTTCTCCCACCCCTGCTTGGGTCCAGGGGTTGGCAGTTGCCACCTGGCTGCAAAGCTTGGATGGTGAGGGGACACCTTCCAGTCTTCAGCCCACACCTTTGGGTTCTAGATATCTCAGTGAGACAGGGTGCTAACAAGCTCCTAGCCAATTGAAACCTTTAGTCTCATTAGGCCTCCTGTCTCCATGACAACCACTGGCATCTGGTCAGGACTGGGAGTTCTTGACAGAATAGACCTGGTCTGGTTGAGGTCTGGGCCACAGAGGTCCAGCTAACAAGACTGACCCTGGACTCCAGGTGCCCTATGGTGCCCATAACCTTCACATACACACACACACACACACACACACACACACACACACACATCCTGGTGAGCAAAAGGCCACCCTTGAGTGGGCAGCGTGAGATGTGGGGCTCTGTGACACCTAGTTTGTCAAGGTTGAGGTGAAGGGACTCACAGTTAACGCCAAATGCCTTCTATGTCGCCAGCTCTAGCATTTGTCTAACATTTGACTTTCTCCTCTTCACAATGTAGAATTTGACTTTTGACTCCTCACTCCATCTGCCTGGTCCAACTCTCTGGCTGGGGCCTTCCCTATACAGCTCAAGAACCATCAAGTTCCAGTCATTTAAAAATGTTCATTAAAATGTCCCACCTCTGGTTTTCACAAATACTCCGAGGAGAGGATCCGGAGAAGGTGGCTCGGTGGAGATCCAGCCTCTTAAGCCAGAAAAGCAGCAGGAAACGAGTTGCCTTGAGTGACTGTCTTTGTGTACTTCGGAGTCGGGACCCACCCCACGACTGGGGCATTGAGTGGGGCTGTATAGCTTCAATCTTTCATTGCAAGAAGTGAGGCCTAGCAGCGAGTGTACCCCTAGGAAAGCGAGTCTCAGGGCTCCCTCGGTGCTCCAGGCTCCAGCACCACCTGCTGGCCACTATGATCCTCTACCGCTCTAAAGGTATTCCCTAACAATGAGGTGAACTGGGCAGTTTCCACCTGCCAGGACCAAAGAGGCACTTTGTATCATGAATTTAACAATACACAAATTAGACAGCCACATCCCCATTTTATATGTGAGGAAACTGGTTCATAGAATTTAAGAAACTTGCCAAGTAATTTGCCAGTTACCGAGTGTCAAAGCCCAGATTCAAGCAGTCTCTGTCTCAAGCACGCTCTTGACCCAGATGCGTGTACCCTGCCATGTTACAGTTGGGCCGTTCTGGGTTTTTTTTCCAGGCTTCTCACTTAGCATAGCTTCTCCCAGGGCTCCTGTGAGGACCACCCACCTACCATAGACCAGAGCACTGACACCCAGCTGGCCACCCAGATTTCCTCACAAAACCCCCCTGATGGTCTCCTGCCACCCTGGGTGAACTGAAGAAACCACTCACTCTTGCTCCATCCCAGCTGCAGTGACTCAGACTGGAGCCAAGTGGTGTCATGCCAGGGGTCAGGAGACCTCACTCTGGCTTCTGACTCAATCACCTTGTTCTCCCAGACAGTCCCTGCTGAGGCCAGCCACCTTCCCCTTGTTGATCAAGTCTCCTGTTTGCCAAAGGATAGAATGGGCCCCAGGAGCACCCTAACATATCATTTTGGCCTTGTCTCCATGGCCTGGTCTGTTTAACCCCAGGCTCTCCTTATGGCCTTGGAGTCATGAAAAACCTCAAGGAGGTTCTCCCCTAGCTCCCTCTGCCCCTAGACCTGAGTCCCCAATGACCCTGGGACATGGCTGGTTGTGTGCGGAGATTGATCCCATCAGGCTCTCAGGATACAAAAAGCTTCGAAAGGCTTTTGCAGCCAAACCAGAGACTCCTGTTTGGAGATCATAAAGTAGACAAGTGAGTCATGGACAGGATAGGGACAGAGGGCAGAGAAAGGGTGAGGGACTAGAAATGAAACAAGGTTATGCTCACATCATACCTGCTGAATTAACTACATCTATATCTGAATTTTAAAATAAACTTGCAGGTGAATTAACTTTTAAACATTCTTTTCCAGGTAGCTTTTGCTTGTGGTTAACATCCTGCAACATTGCAACTAGCTGTGTGAATTCCAGGGACCTAGGCTAGGCCATCTTTAGCTGTCAAGAGCCCAGTTACAGAGACATCTCACTGCAACGTGAGCTCTGCGCCCAGGAGACTCTAACACATTCATCTACCCAGTAAATTGGGCTGAATTTATAACATGAAGGGTTTGCGTTATTATAAAGAGTAATGGCTTTCCGGATCAGCTAGACCAGTGTCTTCATTTTATAGATGAAAGAGAAGCCCGGGAAGGAAAGACACTAATTGGAGAAGGAAGAAGATGGTACAGGAGTAAAGGGATGCCTACAAACAGCTGAAGGGACGTGTTGGGTTGTGGTGTAGCACTGTCTTTTTTTTTTTTTTAACTTATCAGGTAGAATCTGGGTTTTAAAACGATTTAAATTCAAATACGGAAATTTAAAGAAAGAATGCATCGCCAGATTGTTTTTGATCATTTGCATCCTTTTCTGTTTCCAGGACTGCTGTTGTATAGTCTCCAAAAAGTGTCTTTCCCCCTCAGGGTTTCTAGCTTATTCTGTAAAATGAAGGCTCTGGCTTGGTTGATCTGAAGCCCCATTTCATTTTTGCCCACAGCTGCCATGCCTTGCTGCAGGTGCAAAGATGTGACCTCCGCAGAAGGAGAAAGCACGAAGGTGGAAGTTCTGCTGGGCACTTTGCCCCTGCCTGGATCTTCGTCTGGAGGCCAGGGGCACAGACCCGCCAGCACCCGGGATTCCGCGACTGGGGCTGTACTCTCTGGCCCTCCGGTGGCGTTAGGCTAACGCAGCAACCGGCTCCGCGGTTTCCATAGCGACCGACGACTGGGTTAGCCGCGGTGCCCCCTCGCGGACGTCTAGAGCAACGGTTTCCAGCGGAGGCAAGTTCTTTGGGCGGCTCCGTCCAGGGAGCGGGCTCTGTACTGAGCCCTTCTACCGCTAGACCCAGTCCGGAGCCTTGGCTTCAGCACCCCCGGCCCTCACCCCGCTTTTCTTGTCTGCTCTGAGGCCA